TGCTTGTAAGAACTGTTTGCAGCTTCAGTCTGTGTTGTTACTGTGATTGGAAAGCAGCGTTGCTGGTGTTAATCCCAGAACTCTGAATCTATTAATATTTTTTCCTAATTAACCTTTAAAAGTAAACTGACGTAATTCTTTGGCTTAAAAAGCTACCAACATGTTTTTCTTGCAGATTTTCACTTGATATGTTACAAGAAAATTGAACTCATTCAACCCAGAAATTCTTCTAACGTTTCTCCAATATTAACGACAAACATCACACTGTGCATTTTGACCATACATCTTTACTTCAATCTCAATCATCCAAATCATTTTTCGAAAGTCTTGTGGTTTATTTAAATATAACCTTGCAAATCTAAGGCACGGTTCTATGGTCCTTATAGTGAGAAGAGGCTTTTGCCTAGTAAGCCTTGCAAACAAGCTGTACTTGCTCAGTCTTTTTCTAATTGTATCATAAACTTTTAAAATGCTGAGATTATCGCTCTTGGGTTTTTAAAGGTGAACATGAAGTTGGACAATTGTAACCAATCGTGTTAATGGATTCTGTTTTCTGTTTGTCAAAGGTCATTCCTGGAGAATAATGTGAAAAGTGCTGTAGCGTGAGGAGCCTATCTCAACAGCTGAGGTGAGACTTTGTAGCACTTTCTTTCCTACAAATACAAAACATGCAAAACATTTTTGAATCCACATCTGTTGGTTCATGGTGTTTTTGTGCTATATCTTTACAGACAACCGACATGTTGATATGTCTAAAGTGGACCTAAGCAACAGATCTTGCCTCCATTTTAGCTGACACTACTGACACCTGACCCCTCTCCTCAAAGACTTACCCATCCCGCCATTTACTGATGCTGCACTCACACTGGCCCCTTCATAGAGACACCAATAGGCTCTTGTCAGAAGTGCTTTCTGAACATCTAGGGCTTTGGCTCAGTAATGGTGCAAAGAATGTGAAGGAAGAGACACCACATGTGCCTAAGGACCATACACTGCTGCCATAGCATGGCCACACCCATTTAAACCCAAAGCTGGATGAGGCACATTACTGGCGTGTGACCGGATCCCTTCAAATCAGCCTTCTACATCTGACATGGAAGCTACTGAGCTGTTTTGTTTGGTAAAAAACTGTTTGTTTAAATTCACTTGATGTTCTAATGGCCTTTATCACTACCAGCATCACTATCTAGTCACTGTACTCTGCTGTATATCTTACTGGCCTTCATCTCCTCATAGAGACATGAAGAAGAAATTTGGGGGATGATTTTAAATAACATTGATAAATATTTTGTGTAGTTTAGATTTGTGATTTGTTGTAGGAAAGCCCATTTCTACCTGCAAAAACATGTTGTGTCCAAAATTATAACGTGTTAAATTAACAACAAGTTGCTGTAAAAAAAACTTGACAACTTCTTGAGACACTGAAACGCAGAGGAAACGCGCGTTTCAGTCTGAATTAGGTGATACGATTTTAATTTGTTTGGGGTTCTTTGTTGGTTTTGTTTGTTTATACAACATTGATGTAACACAAATCATGCGTTTTCACTTCATGCTTAGTCTTTATATTTTTTCATGTCTTAACTTTTTAAATTTATATCTACAAAGTTGGCATGATTTTAACTTTTAATGTTTTT